AGGAAGGAAGGGAGGGAGGGAAGGAGGAAAGAAGGAGAAAACAGCTTTTTTAGAACATGTACCCATCTTTTTATCAGCTTTTGTATGTGTGAAATAGAGATGATTTTTAGGAATTATTTATGTGGAGATATTATTGGATTGAACTTCATGATCCCACTGATGTTCTGATTCTAGAATCTATAATTCTTTTCCACACTGGTGTGCAATTGCAAGAGTTTTTTCAGTTCCGCAAGAGACAAAAAAAAACACCTCTACATAGTGAAGCATACAAGCTATTATATATTTTCATAATATAGAACTTTAAGGTATAATAATCAACAGTGGCAAAATATTTCTGTCTTTGACATTATTTTTTTTTTTGTGAGATCCAACCTGTAATTGAGACCAGAGAAAACAGTATGGGAAAACAAATCCACAAGAACAGGATAAAAATATCATGAACAGCAAAATATGTCTGAGTATTTAAAACCGTATAGAAAAAAATAAATTAGATGGACAATTGTGTAAATATAAATTAAAAAGATGACATTCTTAATAAATAAAGTTTACTATTTACATTTTTATATATTGCTGAAAGACTTAACTTAGATCCATAAAAACACATAAACAGGAAAAAAATCCAAAATAGGAGCAGCAAATTTATGCGCGTGAGGTACAGAAAAAAAGGATTGAAATTGTATTTTGGTTTTGGTGTCTATATTGTTTTCATTCTTTTTTTCTTTCTTTTATATAGTAGGCCATAAGGATTCTCATGAGGACAGATTTTTAAGCACTTCAATGAATAGTTCTTATTGTTTGGTAGTTTCCAGAAGGTGCCAAACAGATTTCAACATCATAATAATTCAAGGATACCCATAATAATTATTACAATAATAAAAAGGTATAATATGTTACATAAATATGGAAGAACAGTTTGTAATATGAATACATTTTCTCTAGACGAGATCACAGTTTTATTTTGTAAATATTACATTTAAGTATATATATACACACATATATGTACAACTATATATACATGTGCATATATATGTAAATTTATATTTATATAATATCTTTATATAGACATATATCTGTGGACAGGTTATTGATTATAGAGACCCAAGAAAGCAACTCATTAATTGTTCAAAATTCTCCTCACTGACTGCTGGTGTAGAGTTTAAGAAGCCCCTAGTTGTTTGTACTCAGAATGTCTTATTTTCTTTTAATGAAACACTTGATGTGGGCTTTTCAGCCTGAGAAGAAGAGATTCAGGATCTCCCTTCTTCTACAAAGAAGTTGGAAATTACCCAAAGTCTTAAAGAGACAACAGTAAACTGACTTTTACGCTGTATGAAGTGGTTGGCTTTTAATCTAATTAGGGAACTGGTAAATGCCAGAAAAAAAGAGGAAAGATCTAATTTACCTCAGAGTGAAACATTCCCAACTACAAACCTCTCTCTTAAGGTAAGTTATAATCTAGGAGCCCCAGACTGATTCCTTGAAGTTTCAAATGAATATTCCTTGCCTTTCTTAAATAGCAAATGGGCCCATGCATTCCTGAAAGTCATTCCTGAACCTACCCAGTCTCTGTTCTCACAGTTCACCATAGCCCACTGAAAACCTCAGTGCCTCACAATTTTCTTGCACTCCCGCTGTGAGGTAGGTAAGTAGAAGCATCCCCAAGTTGCAGCCGGAGAAACTGAGGCTAACTGGAGAGGCAGTATGATGACATGACATGTTTGAGCTATAGAGCAAATGGTTGCCTACGGCAAGAATTCCCCATTCTGACTCTAAGACCAAAGTTCTTCCCTTGGCTTGTAGACATTTCTCTTAAAATTTTCAAATGATTGGCATAAATTTGGCAACACTTGATTAAGTGAAAGGAATAGGCTTTTATTAACTTGCTACTTTATTTTTAATGTTTGCTGTTTGCTTGTTTTATTTCATTTTGTTTCTCAAAAGCCATGGAATTTACCTGTCTGTTCCTGTAGCAGCGTTGTAGAAAAGTGGACAGTGCAGTGTGATTCTAAGTGCAGTCTTTATAAAGCCCAGTGCTCTACCAGTAAATATAAACATTTTATCATGTGAAAAGCACAATACAGTATGTCCCCTTATTATTTGGTTGAACCAATTTCCAGCCCTCCCCATTCTCTACTACCACTGATTGCCACCAAACAAATAGAAAAAAATGTTCCCCGAACACAACTACAAACCCAGGGGAAGTTGCCATAGTTTCCAGACCTACCACAATTTACAGAAAATAACAAAGTTATAAAATCTCACTCCATCTCTCCTTCAAGGGAAATCTTTATGCTTTCTACCTACTCAGTTTGAGAAGAAATTATTTTCTCTAGGAAGCACAAAACAGTATTTTTTCTTTGTAACATGCATTTTTATTTTCTCTTCATCTCCTTGTCTTCTATTTATCTCTATCTGTACAGTTCTGTCATCTTCAGTATTTTTATTTTCCCACTTGAAGTAGCTCCAGAAAAAATAACGTTAAAACTGTTATGTTGAATTTATTAAAATTCCTTCTTTCCTTCCTTCCTCCTTCTTTCTAAACACAGGTAAGACCTATAACAAGTTGACAGTTACAACTAAGTTAAATCAAATCTGGATGGGAGGTAGCTGTCTCAAAGAATTATTTTCAATAAATAGCATCTAAGCATTGTGGGCCAAAGTGGGAATATGACCAAGAGAACTATGTAAGCTGTGACTCAACATGCTGAAGTCAGGATTAGCTAGCCTCCATCTCCAAAGCCATACTCCTTATGACCAATACTATTCTCTCTCTTCCCAAACACCTCAATTCAGCCACTAAAACAGACTGAAATTCCAAGGATTTTCTCTGCCCTTAAGAGGCGGTTGGCACAGAATCAAAGGGTAATGTAGATTCTCTAGGTAGGGAGTTATGGTTGTAGCTTGGAAAGGCTTCCTAAGAGAACTGTCCAACTCATCTTTACTTTTGTACAGCTAGTAGGCTAATAGTTGCTCATCCAGACCCTACAAGTGTTTAGAGTTCCTGAGCTTCTACTAAAAAATAGAGCTTCAGAGTTGCCTCCTGTGAGTATTTCATTACCATAAGTAGAAGATAACTGAAGGAATGAGACAATGTTTATTTCCAGAAAGAAAATAAAAGTAGGAGTCAGTGCACTTCACAAAAGGAGCTAATGTTCTTCCACTATGGTCTGAAAAGAGTCTAAGTACACCTTCCATGTGGGCAGGAAGCTGGACATCAATTAATCTCTCTTTCCTAAGATCCTTGAAAAAAAAATGAATTTGTGAGTCAACAGGTTATAATGATGGTACAGAGGACCCTGGGTGGATCTTTGTTCTAAAAAGCTCAACTCAATCTGAGTATCTAATGACCAAAGTCAACCTCCAGGAAACTTTGCTCATTTGGAGAGAACTGACACAGACAAGGTTGTTAATGAAGGAGGAAAGAATGTAGTCACTGATCTCAGGGAAATTGGAGTTCCATGATTCTTGCAAGCCAGCCACTAGTAATGTCATCTTTGGATATTCGAGGCTTTTTACAAAAAAGTAACTACTGGTGTAGTAAAACAACTAGGGGGCAACACCATTGCCTTTTTTAGTTTTTACCTTCTAAAAGCTAATCCCAAACAGACTGGTAACTCGGCTAGAGAAGGATAGGGCTGTCAGAGTTGCAAGAGTGGAGAGGGATACAGAATCAAATTGATTCTATTTTTTATTTTTATTGTTTTGGCTAAATATTCACTCTGGTAATTATAGAGAAATGCCTAAATATAAATGAGATGTTGGTGAATTTTTTTAAGAACATGTAAAGTATTTGAACCTGGCTTTGATAATGATGACAGCCTCCTCAATCTGGAACTCAGTCTCAGTCTGATAAAAGTGAGAAAAAAATAAAAACTAAGCTTGTGGGCACAAGTGCCAAGAGCACTTTGCTGTATTTCTTGATGTAACAGACCAGAGATAGGTAAAATATATATTTCCAAGGGTTGTTCATCAGGAGTTTTAATAATAAGATTTCTAAAGTATTTCTGGTCTTCATAGGAGAAAGAGTTCTGACAGACTAATAACTTGCTTTGGATGTAGGAATCAGGAGTCAACACTCTTGTCTGAGATGTTCATCATTTCTAGGTTAGATTTTCTTTTCTGTTGGTTTTCTTCATTAAATTGGGACAACTTGAATTAAAGTAATCTTATGCATCTTGTTTGAACACAGTTCCTTCCATCTTTCACTTTCTCAAGTCCAGGTGTCAAAAAATGTCTAACCAAATTATTCTCTTTGACTCGTTTGACCTTAATTTTATTCCCATATTAATTGAAAGGACAGGTATCTGGCTGAAAAGAGGCAAAGAGTACTCAAAAAGGTAGGGGTTTCCACATGTATTTTAGCCATTTCCTCTTAACATTTGGAGGCTGAACATGGGAGAGAGAGAAGGGCTGCTTCACCACTGGTATGGAAGTTAGTACCAGCCGTTGGAAGACTGTAGGGAAAGCATGATGAACATGCTGGGTTTGGGGGGGGAATGAGGCTCTGAACTCTGGCTTTCTTCAAATGGCCCTTTAAAATACAGGCTAAAATGATCACATCCAAGATGATTTTCTGTTCCAGAATGATAGCTACTGAGGGCAAGAGTAAAGTCCCCTCGGGACCAAAGCCTCCTCCAGCCTGCAGGGCTCAAAGGCTTACACAAGCATAACATTGCAAAATTCCCTACAATTTAAACCATCTCCAAGAGGGCTCCAACATCGTAGAAATTTAACACTGTTCCACTTGATTATAAAATCTAACACTGGCTTCGACATTCTGAATTCTCAATGAGGATTCCAGCATCTTAAATCCTTCCACTCTTTTCCATGATGAGAAGCCCACCCATAGGGAACTTAAGTTCTCACCATGATGGTCTACAAGAGTTTTTCTCTGGCAGAAGGGCTAAGAAGTGAGGAGCTATGGAAATAATGTGGGTCACTTTTAAGGCAGACTGTTCGGTTGTGTGTGTGTGTGTGTATGGAGAGAGGGGGGAGGAGGGGGTTCCTAACCTAGTCCTACCATCTTGGGGTATTCAATGTATAGGATAGAGCAGCAGGAAAAGTAGCAGCAAATGTGGTCCCAAGGCAAAATTTGGGGAATGGGTGGGTTCTGGAGGAATATTATGGCCTCAAGCCTCAAGCCTCAAGCAGAGGGCTGGTATAATACCTTGACATTGCAATCAGGCTGCTTCCAGCTTGGCCTCAAACCCTGGAGTTGGGGATGAAACCCCCTGATGGCAGCAGAATAACTGGGGGGGCTTCGCATACTTTGTGTTCTTGACTTTTTCAAGGGTCCTACTTCCCTAGAAGGGAGGCGATCAGAGACCATTTCACTTTCAGTCCCAAAGGACCGTATAATTACGCCCTGCATAACCCAAGCCTCAAGGTGTGAGTATCTTGGCATCTCAACACTTGGTCTTAGTTTCTGAAATTCTCTTTCTCCCAAGGACAGTGTTGGCTAGGAGCTGGGGAAAGGAAATATTGAGTTTGTTCCAGTCTCTCTCTGCTCAGTCTCCAAAACTGCCCTTACACAGATGCTTGTATGGGTGCATGCATGCATACTAACCACAGATGTGCACACCCCTAGATACAGAATATGTTTCTCACTGTGGTTGTGTGACAAATGGTTAGAATTTTAGGAGGCTCTGGGACTGCATGCTGTATCTGCAATCCAGATAAGACTTTGGGACAGGATTCCATTCCATCATTCAACATGGTGAGATTTGTTTCATGCGCCCCCGCTATGCGTCCTTCCTGGGTGAAATTAAAGGCAGACCGGTTGGGTGCTAAGGATCCCTGGTGTGGAGAGGCCATTCCATTGAGCAGCTGACGGTAAAATCAATACCAAAGGGATGCGGGTCCTGGTGTTGGGCATTCTTCTACAGCTCCTTGTACTTCCTTAGCCATGGCTGTACCCTCGTAGGTCTTTCCGGCTGTGTTCTTGGGCCTGGGGGTCCCGACAAGCACAATCACCTTGTAGGTCACAGGACATAGGGAAGGGGGTGACCTATGGAGGCAAAGAGAGGAAAGGTGAGCTGGGTGCTTAGGTGGAGCAGTACTTTCAGAGAGACTATACTCAACAGGGTCATATTTTTGTCTTGTGGGTGTGAAGCAACATATTTGAGTTCAAGTCAAGGCTTTGCTTCTTGTTAGTCCTAGAGCAGCTTTTATCAAGATAACTACAGCAATTTTTATAGCACCTTTCTTTTCCGGGCAGCATTTATTATGGGCCAAACATCATGCTAAACATTTTCTAAAAAGGAAAGTGCTACTGATTTCTTTGACAACTGTGTACACACAATCAGTACTAAAAAATTCTCTTTTGTATATATAAGGAAACAGATCCAGAAAGGTGCAATATACAACAAACGTATTCATATTAGGATAAGTGATCTCTTTCTGAGTCTCAGACTCCAATCCCTGAATTAGGAGAATAAGAATTACCTTACACTATGAATGGTCAGGATGGAAAAAAGATTATGGTTAAAGTTAGGTTCTACACCAGGTTAGGTCCTACACAAGGACTAGGTATCAGAACTGTAACATGGGCCAGCTAACTAATAAGACTGCTGTGTTGATAAAAATGCATACAAGATGTGAATGTATCTTTTAAGAAAACATAACTCTCTGCACATAATTGGTCACTGAGATTTGAGGTCACTGATGAGAGTACAAAAGCATAATGCAGCAAGCCAAGGGAACTTTCTAGGGGAGTCCTGAAATCCTAGTGGGAATATTCCACATACAAGTTTTGCACAAAATTTGACTGACGATTTCTGGAGTCTTGGATTTTAGCACCAGAAACATGCAAAGCTGTAGAACATTAAAAATTTGATATATCTTTAGAAAATATGGGAAAAGGGTAAGTAAAAATAAAAAACAAGTGGAAAAATGGGAGGGAGGGTAGAGATGAGAGGCCTGGAGCTGGTGCCTAGTCTGTCCCTTCACATGCTCTGTGACATCGGGCTGACTATCCTTTCAAGAGACTGACAGAAGGAACCCAGCAAAGCACATGTCTTCCCAGGAAGCAAAGACTCTGTCTTTCCAAAGAGCACAGTGCAATCCCTGCTTGAGCCCCAGCCCAGGCAAATGCAAGTGGATTTCACCTCATTGCATCATGACATTTGCATATAATTTTCCCCAGGGGATCCCCCATCTGCGCAGATAGATTTAATGACTTCATTCGTCTCCTGCCTGGGCAAGGTCTCCAAGTGCTCACAGAGTCTCAGAGAATATCTCTGTCTTTCAAGCTGTGGACTCATTCTTTATATCTAACACTGCTTCTCTCTGCCTCTGCAATCCCTTCTTCCCCCCCTTTGTCCCCTTCCCCTTCTCTCTCTTACCCTCTCTCATTATTTACTCTTATCCTCTCATTTTTCCTCCTCTCTTTCCTTCCCTTTCTGCCTTTTCACCAATCCTTTACTGTAATTGTGCAGCAACTTAAGATGTAGGAATAAACAGGGGTTTTAAGACAGTCCCACTTCTCTTTTAAAATGTGACCTTGAGCATGTGACTTACAATTTTTTTAAGCTTTAACTCATTAATTAAATGGAAATAATCAAAGCACATGCCTCCTGAGGTTGTGACAAGGGAGAAGTAAAATAACTGATTTAAAAAAAAATGAAAAAACCTGCTGAAAGTCGACTATAGACTGAACACGATTGCCACTCAATGCCTCTTTTGCAAACCACAGCACCCACAAGGAGAGAGAGAACAAAAGGGAATGCCCTGCCACAGAGGCAGGGTGGGATGGGGCCTGGTGGGGGGGGGAGGGATACTGGGATTAGTGGTGGTGGAGAATTGGCACTGGTGGAGGGATGGGTACTCGATCACTGTATAACTGAAACCCAAGCACAAAAATGTGTAAGTCTACAACTGTACCTCATGGTGTTTCACTAATAACAATTTTTAAAAAATGAAAAAAACAATAACACACTGTAACAGACATATTCAGCACTCAAGCATGTCTTTTAATCTGTCAGTCATCATCTATCATCTGTCAGTCAATCTGGTCTATAAGTTATCTATTTTCCGTTTATTGATTTATCTTTTCATTTACCTGCCTACCTATCTCTCTATTCCTTTACTAAGTGAGGAAGGAGCTGCAGATCTTATTTGTTTTTGCTTTCTTACGGTCTAAGTCACAGCATGAATGAAGGGCTATTAATGTTTTTAAAAATGTATTTAGTATTTTGGCCATACATGGTGGTGTTAGGGGTTATTCCTCACTCCGTACACAGTAATTACTCCTAGTAGTGCTGAGGAGTGTCAGGAACCTAACCCAAGTCAACTGTGTGCAAAGCAAGTCATACCTTCTCTCTGGCCCCTACTTTTTGCTTATAGCTAACACATTTCTTGCTTTTTTATTTCTCCCGTAACTTACTGAGGCTTGATGGTGTGGTAAGCATGCTCACAGGTTCTTCCATTCTCTGCTTGTCTTTCTCAGTTTTACAGTACTCTATCTCTCCTCTCTCTCTCTCTCTCTCTCTCTCTCTCTCTGTTCAGGACATTTGCTTTCCAGTTTCCGTGACTCCATGATTCCATGGAGGCTATGCCCTGAATCTAGAATGTTCTTCTGAAACTCTAACTCTTCACATCCAAGAAGAGTAAACCCAGCTGTGTTTGTTGACCCCTTGCTAGGACTTTGAGAGGTAGTCACGTGTTGTTCCACAGAGACACGGTGTGATTTATGGCAAGTTCTTGTAGCCTATTCCCCCTTATTTAAGTCTAGGGCACCATCCAGTCCTCACAGGACCCAATGGAGATACCATAAGTCAATGCTAACTACAAACCAGCCTGCAGGGCTGCTGGATTTCCTCCAGCCCCACTTCTTAATTTCTGTGAACTGACTGTTCTAATCTGCCGATGTTTACTCTGGTCACCAACTTCCTTTCTGGCCAATGACTGGGACGAGGAGGCTAATCCTATTCTCAGGTATTTCTAGGTCAGACCTGGAAGAGATGGGGGGAGGGCTATGTTTCTGCAGATTCATAGCTGTGAACACTGCCTCACATACCCACTAGCACTTCCTGGGGGTCTTCTTGTGCCAGATGATTTATAAAGAATAGCTCACAGAGTGTACACAATCTTATCAGGTGATCTCTATGAGCATCTGGGTGAGAAAACAAGAGGCTTTGAAATATTGCAAACAACCAACCTGCTTAGTTTAACTACTGGTCAAGAGATGCTAATGATATATTCTAATTACATTCTTTTTTTTTTTTCTTTCGGGGTCAAACTTGGTGAAGCACAGGGGTTACTCCTGGCTCTGCACTCAGGAATTACTCCTGGCAGTGCTTGGGGGACCATTGAACCTGGATCACTCATGTGCAAGGCAAACCCCCTACACACTGTACTATCACTCCAGCCCTCTAATTCCATTCTTGAACCAGAGTTTCAAGCCTGGGAGATGGCTCAAAGGACTGAAATGCATCTGCATGCAAAAATCCTGGGTTTGATACCCAGCACAGTACGGTCCTTTGAGCACCATCAAAAGCAAGGACCAAGCTGATTATAGGCCCTGAGCACTGTTGGCTATGACCCTCAAAGACAGCACAACAAAAACCAAATGAAATAAGTAGGGATATTTTCAGCAAGTGAAAATAAAGCAGAGGTGCCTTCATACTCAAGCCAGAATGACCGACAACTTGTCTTTTTCATAGACAATAAATAACCTTGAATTACCTTTTGATACATCTGTACTGACTCCATGTGCATTATCTCACTCTTCCCAGCAGCCCCAATAAAAACCAACTATTCAAACACACCCCAAGAGAGAAGCAAGATATACAAAGGTGAGTCACTAGGCAGGCAGGTAAGATGGAATCTGCACCCCTCTTACATGCACTCCTTGCTCCTTGTTACTGCTCCTCAGGAGGCAGGTGGAGCAGGAGACAAGATCCCCTATTCCAAGAGGAGCAAACTGAGGCATAGAAGGAAGAGTTACATTCTGTTTATTTCAGCCCAGAGCCTGACTCCCAGACCACTTGACTCCATAAACAGGCCCTCACCTCCTCAGATGACCTCCCAAGGATACCTATCACCCAAGGAACATCTGCCATGGTCATCAATCTATGCTTGGGATTCCCAGAGTCATGTGTTCAAGCTCTTCCTTATATGACTTGGCCACCCATTCAGGGATTCTGTTGAACCATCCATCACCCTCTCTTTTTTGTTTCCCTCTGGGCTGGAAAGGATGGTCAGGCAAAGAGGGTTTCCCTTGAAGTGTGCTGCCCATGTTAACATGTCTGTCCACCAATATGAGTGGCTCAGGAATGCAGCTGAGGCAACTTCAGAATAAGGTTCTGGCTGCTGGTGTTCTTTGAGGCTGGGAGACAGGAGGTGGATTCTGACTCAGACACAGTAGGGAGGCCATACAGTGAGAGCACACTGTGAGGGAAGCAAGAGGTGCCCTGAACTATTGCTGGACTTCTCATCCATGCAGGTGAGTGTGTGTGGGGGGGGGGGTAGGGTGGGGGGGGGAGTGAGACAGGGGAGAGAGGTGGTCCCAGGGCAAGCCACTGAACTGCTCTGAGTCTCAGGGTGGTCTTTGGAGTATGGCTAGATTTATGAGAATACATAGACTAGATTGTGATGTTCAGTACCAGGTCTCCCCTGGGAACTTTGTAGGTATTGTCTTGGTACAAGGCATGAATACTCAATGACTACTGAAGCTTGCTTAAATGCAGATGTGCAAGAGGAAAAGGGAGAAAATAGTGAATAGAGTATAAAATATTGCCCCAGAAGAGAAGAAGGCAGGATGCTTTGTCTAGGTAATGAATTAGTGAACTCTCCTTGGCAAGTGACTTCCCTTTTGAGACTCAATTTCTCTCTATATAAAGTGGAGGTTAAATAGTCCTATCACATAAACAAATTTGAAACCCAAGTAAAGCACTTAATAGAGTTCCTGGAATGGAATATCATCTTAGTAGCTACTTAGCTATTGTTGCTAAGGTAATTCTACTGACAAGGTTATGATGATGGTCACTTTGAGGGAGGATAGATGAT